ACTTTATTAAGACCCATAGGTCTCCAAAATTATAGTTTTTGTTGAAATTCCGGCTTAAAATACTAACAACGTTAAAGAACTTTTTTATTTGTTTGGATTAATATGTATAAAATGATACACTTAACTAGTTCACTAATAATCATATTTTTTTTTTCAATTGACTCTTAATCTGTGCACACTTTCACCACTGATTGAACGTTGGGGTGGTCCAATTTTCAACAGACAAGCATTATTGGGCAACTCCGTAATTTCAAGTCAAAAACTACGTCATTTGGGGGGAGGGGAAGAAGAAAAAGTGACACTCGATGACAGGGAGGGCGAGGGGGAGTTTTCCTCAAAAAAAAAAACGATTACGTAATTTGTGCACGCCGCCATATTTACTTCTGTTTAGTTTCAGTGTAAGTAAGGTAGTAAGGTATGTAAGGTATCATCTGCTAAAAAATCAACTCGCGTGTTTCTGCTGCAGGATACGGACGAACGCCTGGAGCACGAGGCGGAGCTCTCAGCCGTGCTGGCGCCCCAGCAGAACGACCCCGGCAAGTTCGAGTTCTGCTACGTCAACCTGGGCGGCGACATCATGGACTACCATCGCTGCATCTTCGCACTCATGTAACGTCACACTCGTGCCAATTTTATTATTCGCGCTTTGAATTAGCTAGTACCCCTAAACATTCTGCTCTGCATCTCGACGTATTGCCAGTATTACCATAAGAAAAAAAGAATAATGCAGTGGTTCCACCGTGGGAGCGCGCAGAGGAGAAAGGAAATATGGCGTGCTTGACGGCATTCTCCTGCCCCGACAGGTACGTGGTGCCCGCCATCACCCTAGGCTACCTGTATGCCCAGACGGAGCGCCTGCTCAGCCACAAGGAGAGGCCTGTCACGCTCGTCCTGTACGACACGCAGCGCAGCGCGCGTTCATCCTCCGCCGCCTCGGTCCACGGCTACAGGTAGGGTGGAACTCTGTAGAAATTCTGTACCACTCTCTCTCCACCCCCTCTCTCTCCCTTCCCTCATCCCCTTCCCTCCCCTCTTGCCCCCCCCCTCCCCTTCTCTACCTCTAAACGCAGAGTGGCCTTGGGGGTCGTTTTCTGATTTCAGCGTGTGGGCACAAGCGAGGGGTTTGGGGGCGTTTAGGTTGGGCGGGTTGCGTTCCATGAATAGTAATGTCTCCCAGTCGCGCAGAGGTCGAAACAAAAAGGAGATAGGAATCGCGTGAATCGAGGAAATGAATTCGAGGGTAGCGTCTGGTTGCCATCGTCCCAATATCTCTAATCTCAATGTGGCCCCGGCAGACCTGCTCGCCCTCGCCCCGGATATTACGTTCGCCGGTGTGAGGGGCGGTCCTCATCGCCAAATCAACGCCCACATTTGCTTTTTATTTTTGGTTGAGAGGGTTGTTGAGCGTTTTCTTTTATACCGGTGCGGCAGAGCTACGTTTGATAAAGACATAAATTGCTTCTGAGAAAAGAGACGCTGTTTTCACCAGTTTGCTAAAATTGCGACCGCTTTCAAACCGATTCCTGGCAATCCCGATCTGTGCATATTGCAACCTTTCATTAACGTCCTGATAGGTCTGAAAGAGGTCCGAAGCCAGGGCTGCCAAAATAAATTAAATTGAAAAATATTTCCTCTATAATTTTGTCCTTCATAAGGGCAAAATCTAAATGGGCAGAATTAAAATGAGGACTTTATTCCCGCCCAAAGTCCGAGTTCTGGAACTCGAGCGAGCATCCGCGGACGCATCTCGGATAGTCTCCAATCTCGGGCTCGTGGGGCCTTATTTATTTTGGAGTTTATTTCAGACCAATCATCAAATTCTGCCCTCGGAGATGAAAAGGATTTTTGCCCCAGAAATTTGCCCTGGGTAAAATGGTTATTATAAGGTTTTGCCCTTTGAAGACCAATTTCGAAAGGGCTTTATGATTTTGTCCTAGGGCAAAATATTTTGCTCTCCCAAGGGCTAATTTTAAAATAAGATTTAATTCTTTTTGCCAGCAGTGTCCGAAGGGGTCGCAACTTAAACACACTGGCGTCTCCTCGGTGCATGAAAACGGTATAATTTTTCAAGACAGGTCACAGGTCACTTTCAACGTACATTTTCCACACGGGTAAAGGTTCCGTGGGATGGGAGAGAGAAATCTGATCGTGTTTCCTGAGAGTTGGTTCGAAGTTTGAAGGAATGAGAGTATTCCTAGGGGATCGTCCAGAAAGTACGTCCGTTTCTCTCAAAATCATCCTGCAAATTACAGAAGCTCGGCGCCTGCAAAACTCGGGGTAGGCCACCCCGCAATACACTCTTGCACGGCATGCAAGATTGTGCCTACCCATCAGGCGCCATGAGAGCTTGCATTACCTTGATTTGGATGGCTCGTAACGGCGGATGACGGACGTACTTTCTGGATGATCCCTAGTATAGGGGGTTCTGAATGGCGTTTCTCTCGCCACTTTACTCGCAATGACGGCAGTAGTCGGCGTGCGTGAGGCCGCGGCTGGGGCCCAGCCACCCTCACCACTCCACCTCGAAACGACAAACGAAAATAACACTTACGCCCTCTTGGACCCGTCGCCTCGGGGGCGGCCAGGCCGAGCGGCCAGCACGCCAATACCGAGTGGAAAATGATCGTGGTCTGGGAGGGGCAGGGGCCTATAGGGGGAGAAGAGAAAGAGAGAGGAGGGCAGGGGGAGGTGGCTGCTGGCGGCCAACACGGAACAGCACTCGGGGAGGGCGGACTGCCCGCCCGCCTGCTTAAGCGTACCTTCCAAGGCAGGCGGCGTTGCTACTCGGCCACGACTCCGTCCTTCGCGGCATAGTGGTGGCTGAAGAATATGCGCGCGGACGCGTAGCATCTCGAGGCTCGAGTAGGGTTTGCGCTGGAGCATGCGGCACCCCGACATGCTTGTTTCGTGGAAAAATTAAAAACCCGTAAATACCATAACATTTGAAGAAGAAAAGCTGCCAGCAAAATGTACTTGTCGTGGTCCGAGGGGGCCGCCACATCTGTAATCCTGAGTACACATACGCGTGATTCGAGGGGGCAATAACTCCGGGAATCATGTGTACACCTGTCTGGGAATCATCAGGATAAAAATTGATCAAAATCAATAGAAATCGCTTAGAATAAGGGGGAAACTAGAGAAATAAGTACAAATCAGTCGAAATAAGCGTTTTATACCACTAAAAACCCCCGAAAAACCTATGTAATAATTATAAGCGGACGGGAATCACCGGGAATCAAGAATTTCGGGAATCATGTGTACACTTCAAAAGGGAGTTATTGCCCCCTCGGCGTGATTACACCGAGTAATCCCACGTAATTTCACGTAATCATGTGTACGCCCAGAACCTGGGTGGTGGCCCCCTCGCTGTGATCTTCAAAGCTCTACGGATTTATTAGCCGTGTTTTACTTTATTTCTGCTATATGTGTACCGTGTGCTACCTATCTGGGTTGCACGTCGCCTGCTCGCACTGGGAAGATGTCTCGATGCAGCCATTAAAAATTTGATACCCACGATCAATTTTCGCTCAATCCGTCCGGTTAAGCCATTAGCATCAAAATTCTACCCCAATTCTACCCCCTTCCACTGTTGACCCCCACCACCTAACCTGCAGATCCGCCGTCGGTGACTGGGGTTTGAATGCAAGTTTTAAAGAATAGTGCGAACGCAATTTTACAAAAATAACTTGTTTTCGTGAACTTCAGTAACTACGGATCCTAAATATACCCCACACTAAATGGCCCGTCCAACGCGCAACCTATTTGGAGGCCAGCGGTTCTCGCAGGAAGAACTGCGAATAGCCAACTGCAGCGCCGTTGGCTGCTTGGCGTCGATCGAGTGATGTGAAAGAAACTATTTGTTCGTAAATAATGAGAAGCTTACTGTCGGGGTTAGGTGGCACCATAGGTAAAGTGGTGGAGGTCAACAGTGGAAGGGGGTAGAAAGGGGGTTTCCCCGAACCCTGCCCCGTCCTCTCTCTAGGCCGTTGCCCACCCTTTATTTAAGTTGGTGTAACCAGGTGTAACCGAAATTTTGTTTGCTGTAAGCAAAAGTTTATTTGCTGCGACTACAAATGTCATATGCCCGTATGACTCCTAAATCCGAGTGATCGAACAATTTTTGATAAGTGCAACGAAACATTTCTCTGAGTGCGCCGCCTCAGCGCGACCATCATACGGCCATCGGCGCCACCGGGGCGCAGCGGTCGCAGCGGGAGGTCTCTTTGATGGGGACGCGGAACTGCATTATAGTCGCAGGGGTTGCGGGGCGCGCCGGAGGCGGTGGGCGGCGGGGGCGCCCGGCCCGAGGCTGGGCCGCAGCGCTGCGGTCCCCTCGCTCTACCCACGAGGGATCTCGGAGACTGTCGAGTCGTGGGAGCCGGGTGTCCTCTCCCCCCCCCCCCATGTCCCCCCTCCCCGCCCCCACACACGCACACACTCTGAGTTGAGCCACGCCCCCACCCACCACGCCTCCACGCACACATACGGCGACAGGCGAAAAGACCAACAACAATAGCTGCCCTCCCGTGGCAGGACGGATGTGGAATGCACTCAATATATCAGCCGGACCGTCGGTCTGTCCATATCTATCTGTCTACCCGCCGTTCACTGCCCGTCCGGTGCACTACCCAAGCAAAACGGCACATGAACACTTCTGTTTGTATCTATTTTGAATTTGATTGTTGTTTTTTTTTTGTTTTTTTTTTTTGTTTGTTTGTTTTGTTCTGTGGGTTTGCTTTGCACTGGAGCTTTGCACTGGACGCCGCCCGGCGGCCGGGCCCAGGCCATGCATGCGTGTGACATGTGACACCTGCAGGTGAGGGCAGCGCAGGCGTAAGGTTGTCGTTCGGACAGAAAAACGCGTCTGGCCAGAGCGAGCCCGAGCTGTGTGCGTTTCACTAACCATATATATGAGATTGCCGGTGAGTTGGCCAGAGTGGATGTGACATGGCGGGGGCGTTCAGATGGCGTAGGGGTAGAGCGAGGTAGAGAAGACACGCTGCTGTGAGTTCGTAAGAACTCCCTCCCCTCTATGGCGGAGGCGGAAGCCAAGCGTGTAGGCCAGCCCAGGCGAGTGAGCGCCGAGCGGCAGCTGGCAGCGGGCAGCGCCGGCGCCGTGTCTCCGCGCGCGGCCACCTGCGGCTCTTGTCGCCCTCCGCCGCGACCCTCATTCTTCTCTTCGTGGAGAACGAAGACGCCGTCGGGAGAAATGTAATAAAGTCGGCGTGTATCTGCCAGCGGACGCGGCGGCAGCGACACGCGCCACCAGCAGCACCGGCGGCGGCAACTGAATTTGTGACGGCCAATATATTGCACCCAGTTAGGGGCAGGGCGCTGAGAGGGACGGCCTGACACTGACAGAGTGATGCTGCTGGCCGCGGCCCAAGCCGAGCGTCTGGTCACCTGGAGCGCCAATACGAGGCGGAGGGCGGAGAACCCCCTGTCGCCGTCACCCCATCACGTCCAGAGGTTGTAATCACACCGTCCAAAGCCTTTTGCCTCCCGACCTCTGAGGCGCCCGCTGCCTAGCGTTTAGCTAGCTACATATAGCCTGCTTCGACTCAAATTTTAGACAATGCATCTCTGAGATTCCTATCCTGCCAAGGTTAAAATTTACTTCTGGCGGGTGTGTCGGTGTCGCGCATCGTCTCGAAGGACCCCTACTGCTTAGTCCAATAATTAAAATTATTTTCGTAATTCGTCCCCCTGTCCACGAATCTTTGGGTTCGAGCTGCGCGCGAGGGCGTGGTGAGAGCTCGGAGTTCCTGCGCGGTCATACGTTTTCTTTTCTCTTTGCCGCCTCTATTTCTTCTTTCGTTCGTTTCTCACAAATCCTTGTCTGTTTCGCGCATTTTGCCCCTCCATATTACTCCTTTCGGCTCTCGCCCTCTTCCACCTCTACATACAACTCGGGTTCGCATCCACTCCGCGATTCACCCCGCTCCTCCCTGATCCTGGCCGTAAAGGAAGAGTCACTGGGCTGAACCCCAAGTGTATGGTAATCACAGTGGACTCAAGTTCGTCGGCCCGGAAACCATAGTTAAGTGTCCCCCTAGATCAGGTGGTCTCCAACCGGTTAAGGTGGTTGGGTGGGCAGGGGGGGGGGGGGCAAGTGGGAGGCTGCGACCACCCCGCCCCACACCTGAGCGCTAGCGCTCTGTCCTACTGAATGAACACGAGCCTCTCCGTGGCATCCCCCCCCCCCTCTCTCTCCCTCTCTCCACTCACTCACTCACTCACATATCCCGGCGTGACTTCAACTTGTGTGCTCTCCAAACCCAAAAGCTCAAAATTTGGTCACTGCATATCCTTTCTGGCTGCAGCCAAATCGTAAGAAACAAAAACGAAACTCATGTTTGGCACATTGAACTAAATATCGATTCCTCCCATAAGCCCGTCTTGCTTCTTGTTGCCGCAATCGAGCCGTCAGTTGTCAAAACTTTCGTGCCGTAGCTTTGCTTTTCTTGCGGCTTGGTTTACGCGGCCAAAAAATCGAACCACCCGGTAACTTTCGAGAAACGCTGGATCGCACGGTAAAAAAAAAGGTTTCTTGAATTTCAAGACCCAGTTTTGGATGCCAATGGCGTCCTCCGAAATCCAAGACCGGGTCTTGAAATTCAAGGAACTTTTTTTTAACCATGCGCCGCAACTAAAATTCCTTTTCGCGCCGCACGACTTGCTCTTATCTATTTTTGTCACAAGGGCCCCCGTCTTTGGCCGCTGCATGCCATTATGTGGGCAGCTGGTGCGGTGTCGGGTCGGGTCCGTCGGGTCCACGCCGCTGTGACATCCCCTGAATGAAACATGGATGCGTGTCCGGCAGCGGCTGTGCGGCCGGGTCGTCCTATATATTACACCCCGTTTCGTAAACTATACGCCCCATGCACGGCGCGGGTGCTGCACGGCCTCGGCGTCACGCGCGGATGTGCACCATTAAAAAACATTCAATGTTCTGCAGTTCCCCCTGCTCGGTGGGCTACCCGATGGGAGTGTATACACGGTTCGAGACCTCCACCCCCCCCCCCCCAACGTTGCGCTCTCTGCAAACGCTTTCCAACTCGCGAAGGATTCCAGGCGAACTCGAACTTCAGCGTGCGCTGTACTGTGTGCGATAGAGCGTGTAGGAATGACGCAACGCGGGGGCAGCACCCTCTTGTGCTTCGATGAAATGCCGCTGTCCATAGCAGTGTACCAAATACGGCGGCGCCCTTTTTTTGCGTAATGGTTTCCACCGGGTTTGAGTTGCGTCATACAATGACAGCATTTTGTTATATTGGCGTCCGCTCTGCTTCACTATTCGCTGAGTGGTTGTCAGCTCGAATTTTCGGCTTAAGTACACAGGATAGTGTGCACACTCTCATCCCAAAACGGTGTAACTGACGTTTCGACAACAAATTCTTTTTTTCCCGTGCACCCCGCTCGCATTCGTAGTTTTACTATGCCGCTTCGTGTGAGAGGGTTGGCCTAATCGCCTCTGGCCATGGCGATGTTGCGCTTTAATACGACTCGACCGAGTAGGCGACGCGCCCGCGCCGCCGCACTCAGCCAACACTACAGCAGTGAGCGGGGTATGAATAGCCAACCTGGTATCACGTCCCGCACAATGGAATACGACGCCTTGTTTGTCGGGGGCCAAAAGCCAAGGAGGGCAACACGGTCGGACCATGGAGCCGGGCCCCGTGTATTTAGCGTGGTTCTTATTTTTCCGACCAACGGCTATTGTTTCCAGCTTCCAGCCGTAATGAAGAGCAGTGCTGCCGGTGCTGAGGCTGCTGAGGTGCGCTGGGGCAGCGGGCCGGCGGGCGCTTTTCCCCTGCTCCCCCGCGCCTTTGGGTTGTTTTTTTTCCCCTGTGGTTTTGCGGTTTTGCGGTTTTGCGGCTTTTGTATTATTGCCCTTTTCTTATGCCATGGGCGTTGCTCTGCCCCGAATACGCTGCCCTGCTGCGCTGCTTCCCGTAGGTCTCTCTTGTGTTACTTGTGCCCTCAGGGACCTTAGGGGTAGGAGGCGTGGCGTGGGGGGGGAGGGGTGAGGGTGGAGGGGGGTCGAGGGGGGAGGATATGACGCCGGGGCGTGCTGAGGCATGCCATGAAAAGAACTGGCAGGCATGAGCATAACCCTTTACAACCGTAAGAATAAGGTCCCGCTCCCTCTGTACCCCCCCCCCCCCCCCGCCTTTACCATCTCCGTTGGCTTATCTTCCTCCTCGCCAAGAAAGACACGGAGACGAATTACACCTACGTCTTGTTATGTGGCGCTCTCCCCTTCTCCTCCACTTCCTCTCCTCCTCAATGGCACTCCTCCTTATTTCCTATCCTTTCAATTACGCTGTTCTTTTCCTCAGGTTTCCTTACGTCAGCGTTGGCTCGTCGCGTATGAAGCCCCTCAGCGAGGGAGGGGTTTAGGACCACCCGCGTGTATCCGCGTCTTCGAATTGTGGGGCAAGAGTTTGAATCGGATGGTCTGCCTGCCAGTGCCAGCTGTAGCCTCCGTAAATTAGATTCGTAAACAGAGGTCCATAGGTCATAGTTACCGTATTGTCCTCTTCTCCCCTCTCCCCAGCACGCGGGCGACAAATTGAAAAGATGATTTTACTAATTTGAAAACGGGACAGAACATGCACGTAAGAAGTGACAAAATCGATTGCGAAACGCAGCCCAAATTACTGGAGCACATTTGTTTCTGCAAAGATCCTTTGCTTGCGTGCACATTCTTTGCGTACATAACGTTACACAACACACGGGTTCGTTCCGCATGCCAATTGATTACAAGAGTGTTAATAGGAGCTCTCCCAAGAAGGCGTAGGCTTGGAAGACGAACCCCTTTGTTACGGTTTGCCGCTGTCTGGTCCGATAGTCCGATAGTCGAAGCTCGAAGCGTGGGTCGCCGACAAGTCAAATTGCTTACCACTACCCCCCCCCTCTCCCTCCCCCAAATTTCAACAGCCGTGAAATAGATTCTCAATCATTAGTGCTACAAGAACCAAACAAAGTACTTGTGTAGTTTTGTTGTTGTTGTTGTTGTCGTCGTCGTCGTCGTCGTCGTTGTTTTTTGTTTTTTGTTTTTCAAAAAAATGTGTGTGCATTTCAATCTTATTTTTGCCAAGAGTGCTTTCTGTAGGATGTAAGCCTGCCTTCAAAGGTAATGTGATTTAAAAGCTCGTTTAATAGCCAAAAGGTTTATTTGTTTTGACGGGGCAGTAAAGCTAATTCTAAATTATAACACCTACCCCCCGCCTCCCTGTTCGCAGGCGCTCGCTGCCCGCCCGGAGTCTCCTGTACCACTCGTCCACTCTGGACGGCACCGGCCTGGACCTGGTCAAGGAGCAGCGCACCCAGAAGTACCTGGTCGGCATGACGATGGCCTTCTTCGTGCTGTTCACGCCGTTAAACCTGCTGCGGTGAGTGTATTTTAGTGTATATTTTGGCACGTGTGCCTCGCCCTTTCGCCGAGTTTTGTCTTATTACACTCACAACTCCTTTGTTGTTGTACAGTACAAACATCTGGAAAATGGGTGAGACTTACGACAACGAGTACTACATCGACATCGGCTACGCCGTGTTCGTGTGGTTGGGCTACCTGCCCACCTGCTCCATGCCGCTGCTCGTCGCCTCCTGGATGCTGAGCCGGTGAGTATACCCCGCGGCGCCATCCCGGCGTCTCTCCGCGCGGGGCGTAGCGCCACCGCCCGGCGCTACCCCGCAAGGTGTATGCACCTCTGGGGGCTTGCTATGGGCTTGCTTGCCTACTTGCACGCCACCGGTGCCTGGCGGCTCTGCGTTTACGCTTCCAAATCAATGTATTCATTTGGCAAACAATGACAACTAACTTAAAGTTTAGTTAAACACATCCAGTGAGCGTCAAACGAAGTTGAACCCGTCCACGTCCCCGCTGCACCGCTTGCTTTGCCGACCCACACGACCTTGTTTTCCTTCCCTTTATTCCGTACCCTAGAGCTACACCCATCCACGCTCTTAAGCCAACGCCGATTGATAGAAAGCTGCACGGCCAGCGTGAACGCATGCGCACGTGAGCAAATACACGCTGATGCTGCTTGTAGCCGTGCCTGACGATGTCGCTGAGTCTATCGTGGCCTGCAGGTCGGAGAAGGAGCGCGTCCGCGGCTACTTCCGGTTCAGCAACCGGCGCTTCACGCGTAGCGGCCACCACCGGTCGGCGCGGTCCGGCTCGGACTCGGGGCTGCCGCCCAACGGCGCGTCCTCGGCGGCCGACGGCACCGCGCTGTCCACGCCGGGGCCGTCACCGCCGCACGGCGCGCTGGCCGCGCACGGCACGCGCACGGCGAGCGTGGTGACGGCCTCCACCGCCATCACGACCGTGTCGCCGCCGTCCTCGCCGCGGCCCACGCCGAGGCCGTCGCCGAGGCCGCCGCGCGGCGAGTCACTGGCGCCCGCCGCGGCCGCGCCGCTCAGCGAGGTGAACCTCCTCAAGCACGACCTGCAGCGCACGGCGTCGCACCGCCTCGCGCGCGTCCACGCGCCCGCGCCCTCCTCGCCGTCCACCCTGTCGTCCACCTCTTCTTCGAGGAACACCAACTCGTCGTCCTCGTACGGACCCGTGCACAACCCGTTCCTCACGCCCAGCGTGCTCGCGGCCGCGCTGCCACCCGGCGACGCGCACCTCAGCGACACGACGCCCTCCTCGCCGCCGATCACGGCCGTGCCAGGTAAGTCCCGTTACACTTACGCCCCTCTGCGCCTGGTGTGTGTCCTACCTGACGCCCCTCGCCCTGCCCGTAGGCCTGCCCCAGGAGGCGCCTCTGTCCAGGATGCCTTCGTACCGGAGCCAGCACCACCGTGGCAGCAGCCGGCGGCGCAAGCAGCCGGACCTGCCGGGCGCGCCGCAGAGGACGCTGCCTGCGCTGCCGCCGGGGCTGCCGTCGGGGCTGTCGCAGGGACCGCCGCCCGCTGCGCAGCTGGACAAGGGCAAGGGCGACGCCATGGACTTGGGCATGGAGCGGATGGAGCTGGCGCCGCAGAACTTCCACCAGGCCGTGCACCAAGGGCTGCACAAGCCGCAGCAGCCGCCCCGCTACTTCACCTTCGACCATGTGGACCGCTCTGCCGGCCACGGCTACTACCAGCGGCCGTAGACCATGAGTCGATCTCCATTCTCCAAGTGCCAATTCACGAATCCCGTCGTCGGACCGTTGTCATTGTCGTATAAAAGTCTTCGTTAAAAGTATTACCAATTCGGGTGCCAATGCTGTGCGAGGGATCGTGCAGTGTTTGTATATTTGTGTGTGCCAATGGACATCCTGACTTGAAAGGAAAGATAGACATTTAGTTTCTTTCCTGAGCTCACGTTTTTCGCACATAAATTAAGTTAGTCATAGAAGTTTTGTAAATTATTATACAAATGTAGTTGTAAAATAGTACTTGGGTACGAAATAGTACAATGTGCGCAGCGTAGCACTAAGCTCCAGACGGAATTGAATAGTCTAAGTTGTTAGTTTTAGCGTGATTTTTTAGAGATTGATGTGTACAGGCGGCGAGCAGCGACCCTAGCGCCCGATTATGTTGAACATGAAGTGACTCGAGACGACGCAGGCTGTGTGTGAGCGTGCACGCGGTGTGTGGGGCTGCTCTCCACCCGAAGCTCACGACCAATGTTGTCTTATCATGGACGTTGTTGTATGTGCCAAAACCTTCCTCTCCACCTGAAACGCCCCGAAAGAAAAATGCCGCGCTCGAAGCGCCCCGATGTACTTTGTTGTTTTTTGATGGGTTTGGTTTGGCTCCAGCTCCAGCCGGGACTCTGAGCCCGTCCCCGCTGGGCCGGTGGACGCCGGTAGGCGCGCGCAATAAACTGTTTACCGCCGCTGAAGCGTTCTCCTCTCGGTCACCAGACCGTGTATGTCTACCCTGTCCCTCTGTCGGCCAGCGATAGGCAACTCCACCAGCGGCTGCCGGCCGAGTAGCGACCAAGTAGGCAACTCGACCACAGAGGCTGCCGGCCAGGTGGCTGGGCAGTTCAACCTACTGTCAGCTGCCGGCCGGACCGAGTCGCTCCCGCGGCCGCCCCGCGAGCGGTAGGCAGCCCATCGGGCTCCACACGCACCGCCGCCCACTGGAGCAGACACCACCACAAGTGTCACTCCGAGGGGGGCATCCATTCTCCCTTCGCGGGTGACTGGAAAGTATTAACGGGCGTTCTAGTAAACGTTGTCCGTTTTCCACAGCGCCGTGATGCGAGCGAGCGGGTAAGTTCAGTTCGGGACGGTGCGGCCTCGAGCTCTCCATGGATCGGTCGGATGAAACGGACGTCGAGTCGGGACGGCCGCGGCGGTCTTCTTCACGGAACACAACGCCGCGCCGCGTTATCGCTCGTAACTTAACTCGTGCGGTGCTTAAAATTCGAGTGCGGAAGGAGTGGGAAATACCTCGCAAGGAAAAGGGGGGAGCAGAG